CCTTGTAATGAATGACCCACACGGGTTTAACGCTTGATGAGATCCAAGACAATTTGTTTTTCCCCTTTATCGTCCTTCTTGGCTTTTCACTGTCTTTAATTTCGTCTTCCTCTGTCTTAAGTCTTCAGTTCTGTTCCCTTTCTTTATTTTACCCCTCTCTAATTTTCCCCTCTTTCAGTGTTTGTCGTTTCCTTCTGGCCCTCGTGCAGTAACAGCCTGGTTGATCAGGGCCTGATCCACCGGGAGGCCTGGTCAAGGACTGGGCTTCGAGGGTCGCTGACCCCTGGAACGATCTCTAGGTAGCAAGTACTCACTCACCTATTTGTGGTTGCAGGGGTCGATTCACAGCTCCTGTGTGTGTGAGAGAGAGAGGGAGAGAGAGGTAGGCGTGTTACCAAGGGCGTGTATAGGCGTGTCAGTTAGCGAGGGGTGAAGGGGCGTGTCAGTTAGCGAGGGCGTGTGTGGGCGTCCAGAGAGAGGTATTAACCCTGCCGTTGACAACCTCCTGCCGTTGCGACGTCCACGACAGCTCTGTGAAGGTGAGATGATCTCCTGTGTCGCCGCCTCCGTCTGTAGCAAGATAAAAGTCGTGTCTTAGCTTCTCTAGCAAGATAAAAGTAACAAATTAGCTTGTATAGCAATATGAACCACAAGTATAACCACAAGTTTAGCCCAGATTACTTGTAACTTTACTTGTGTATGTGACTGTAATATATATATATATATATATATATATATATATATATATATATATATATATATATATATATATATATATATAATATATATATATATATATATATATATATATATATATATATATATATATATATATATATATATATATATATATATATATATATATATATATGCAAGGAATTCATTTCAACAATTTTTTAAAAAATTAAGTCGAATTTTTAACTTGTGGGACTTGATCAGTGCAGAAGAAAACTGTGAAACAAAAGATATATGATCAAGTCCCACAAGTTAAAAATTCGACTTAATTTTTTAAAAAATTGTTGAAATGAACAAGTTCTGCCCAAGTCTCTTTTACCCAATAGACTCCTTGACATGAGAGATCGTCCTTTTGATGATTTTATGAGAATTATTCTTCAGAAACATATTGAAATAACTAAAATACAGGAGAAGGAAGCATTCAAAATATTGAGAAACAAAAAATACTCTTTTAATCAGGCCATTCCATCAGAATGGAAACACAGTATGTTGGATCATTGCTATAATAAACTCAGAAGAATTTGTAATGAACCCAAGAACAAACTACAAAGAAAATTAGACATTTTAATTGAAAATAGTGATTGGACAAAGCATGCTAATAACAATTGTGTAATTAACTTATCAGATGAAATTTTAGACAAACATACAACTGCTGCTCTAGGTTTTGGCCTAAGTTTTGCAACTTCAAAAAAACTTAATAATGTTGAAATTGCAAAAGCCTTTTGTAACTTTGAAAAATTTTCTGATTTATCCTCTGATGAAATTAATATTAGTAAAGGAATGGTATATAACTCTATGTTAAAACCAAACATTCCCAATTGCCCTCAAAGATTCTTTAAGTCTTATGATACACTTAATAACAATAAAAATTTGCGCCTTACTAAAGCAGACAAAAAAAATGCAATAGTAATTATAAAAGGAAAATAATTTTACCAAGAAAAAAATGAATAATCCCCTTAGATGTTACTAAAACCCTATTTTTAACTTGGGAAAAAAAACCCCCTTGAAAAACCGGTTAAAACAGCAATTTCAATAAAAAAAAAAAAAAAAAAAAATTTACTAAAAAGGCAAAGATTTTTTAAAGTAAAAAATTTATTTTCCACAACCCCATCTTTTTACCTTACATTTTTGGGGGAACTAATTAAAAAACCCCACAAACCAGGGAATCCAGTCAGCCCAAATTATTATTTTCCCATGGATCAGTTTCATATAAATTATCCAAATGGTTGTTGATATTTTGACCCCTATTTTTGGGAGAATTTTTTAAACTTTAATTTAAAAAAAACATGGGATTTGGGTTGAAAAATTAAGCCCCTTGACTGATTAAATGTTTTTTAACATGGTTATTTTTGGGATGTTCCCTTCCCGGGTTTACGAAATTTCCCTTTTTTGGATGATTTTTTAAAGGTTTTTTTTTTAAAGGAACTCGGTTAACTTTGATTTACTTTTTCCCAATTTCCCCTATTTTCATTAAATTTATTAAATTTTGGCATTGTTGAGCAAAATTTGTTTTTTAAATTTATAAGTTTTACACTCAGAATTTTTGGGTATGGCAATGGGAAATCCTTTCCCCTTTTTCTTAGTAACCTATAATGGAATTTTTTGAAAAAGGTTGTTTTAAAACAATCCTCCCTAATAGAGCAAAAGGGTTCCCGATATGTTGATGATATTTTGTGTCTTATCCCAAAAAAATGTAGAAAACCACCTTTTTTCTTGGAAAATTAATAGCTTACCCCATTTATAAACTTTACTTTTAAGTTTAAAAAATAAAAAACTCATTGCCTTTTCTAGATTTTTTAAATTTAAATTAAAAGGGTAATAATAAAATTAAAATTTTTAAAAATTTACAGAAAACCCTACAAAATAACTGTTCCAATGTCAATTTTTTCTCCCCTCAAGATAGAGTCAAACTGTCTGTTTTTCCACCCAATGTTTTTGAGAGCTTTACGAATTTGGTCCTAAATTTTATAGATGAGGTTTTTCCCAAAATTTTTTTGGAAAAAGGGAAATGTTTTAAATTTTTCCCAAAGAAATTTTAATTGAAAAAAATCTTTTAAATTTCCCTAAAAACCTTTTTATAACCCAAAAAAAGGGGCAACCACCCTTATTCAACAAAAATTATTTTGGTCCCCCTTTTTCCCTTAAAAAATTTGGTTGTTTATTTTCTCTTTTTTAAGATTTTTTAATTTTAAAAAGGTTGGTATTAAAAAATCTTGATACAGTTAAAAGAACTTTTGATAAAAAATTTCCCCCCAAAAATGCTAAATGGTTGGGGTCTAAAAGATTCCTTGTAAAATTTGGGGAAAAAGTTTTATTACGGTTAAACGGGTTTAAAAATCTCGAACTAAGTTTTTAAAAACAACAAAAATTTTATAGCTTTTTAGAACTGGACAAGTTTCCAATGCTTATTTATTCATTTTAAGGGGGATTTTTAACCCCCAAATTTGTTTTCAAAAAAGTTGGGGAAATTTAGTAAAAAGCAAGCCCCAGGGTTCGAAGGAATTTTATTGAATCTTGTTTCATAAAAAAGCATTTTTGGAAATAATTGAATTTTCCCTTTTGGGTTTTTTTTAAAAATTAGATCCATTTTTTTTTTAATAAAATTTTGGGGAAAAATTTTAATAATACACTGGACAAAAAAAAATTTTTTAAAATTTTCTTGGGTAAAATTTGCTTGGGGGGGGATTTGGGGAAAGGGAAACCTACCCCAAGTTGGCTCCCCGGGGCCGTCACTTTTTTTTAACCCGTTGGGGGATCTGATAGTGGGGGTGCGGGCCCCGGGACCCCTTTTTATAGCTTCCTTGGAGTTTTATTTCATAGCCCTATAATGTGGGGAAAGCCCCAAAAGCGTTGGAATTTTCTATTCTTTCGAGGGGTTTTTGGTTTTGCATTTTGAAAATCCCTGTTCATTTGTGTTCATATATTTAATATATTTATATATATTTATTTATTAAACTATATTTATATATTTTATATATATGTCGTGGGGGAATATTTTTAAAACTGGTAAATTTGAAAAAACTCTTTTAAAAATTGGGAGTCTTTTTTTAAAATTTTCTCTTAACGTTTAAAAAAAATATTTTTTTTCTTTAAATTGTTAATGAAAAAAATTTTAATTTTGCCCCAAAAAGGGGTTTTAAAAAACTTCCCTTTAACCTTTTTTAAAAAAAGAAAAATTTTTTTTAGCCAAACCCCAACTAAATTTTTTTAAAATACCTTTACAAAAATTTTAATTTACAAAAGGAAACACAATAAAATATTTTTTTTTCGTTAGGTTCAAAATGTTTTTGGGGCGAATTATTGCATCCCAAAAATTTTCATTGGTCCTTTTGGAAAGGATGAGCGTTCCCTATTTAAGCCAAGATCGTAAAGGGTTTCTCCCCTATTCGGCACAACATTATAATATTTTATATTTTTTTTATTATATATTTTTATATATATTTATATATAATTTATATATTTTATATATTTTATTATATATATATATATTTTTGCAAAAAAAACCCACGGGAAAAAGGAATAGAGATATTCCAAGCGTTTTCGTGGTACTCACATTATCAAGGAACAATGAAATTTAATGCATCAAAGGAAGGCTAAAAAGGGGTCTAACCCACACCTCACAAATCACTTTCCCACAAAAAAGAACACTGCCCGCACTCAAAAGAAAGGGAACATCCCTAGGGGGCCGGGGCCCAACCGGGCCCCCAGGCCCCTTTACAAAACCCAAACCAAAAACCTTTTTCTCCCCAAGAATTAGCATTTAAAAAAATTTTAATTTGCCCAATGTATTATTAAATTCTTAAAAATTTCTATTAATTTTAAATGGATCAAAAATTTTTTAAAAACCAAAGGGAAAATTATTCTATTATTGTAAAAACTGTTTTTTATAAAACAAGATTAAATTTTTAAAATTCCGGGTCGCCCCTGGACTTGCTTGATACTACTTTCTAATTTTTTTGAAAAAAAAATTTTGGAGGGTTTAAAAATCTTTTTACATGAAAAAATAGAGCATTGGAATTTTGCCCAATTTTAAAATGCTTTATTTATTTTTGTTTTAATTTTAGTTCGGTTTTTTTCCCTTTTTGCCCGTAAAAAAACTTTTTTCGCAAAAATTTTACAAGGAATCTTATAGCCCCATCCTTTCGCTTTTTGGGGGGGAATTCCCTTTTAAAAATTTTTTTTTTACTGTATCAAAGTTTTTTTAAATAAAACCCTTTGATTTTAAAAAGTTTATAAAGAAAAAGGGCATATAAACCAAGTTTTCATGGTAAGGGGAGAATCCAACATTTTTTTGGGTTAAATTAAGGTTGGTTGCCCCTTTTTTGGGGATTGTTTAAAGTATTTTTAGCCCCCTTTAAAAAGCTTTATCAATTAGTTTTTTTGGGTATTTTAAAATCTTTTACCTTTTAAAAATTTTTTGGATATTTCCTATCTATGAAAACCTATATATAATATAACTGTCTTTACAGGTTTTAAAACTTAAACAAATTAGATCTCGGGGGAAAATTACGGGTTTTTAAAAAAATTTTTTCCCCAAAAATCAGGACATAGTCAAGGAAAAACTCACTGAAAAAAAGTTCTGTCCTGAAACTGATCCCCAAAAATAAAACTACATAAAAAAATTTAAAACTGTTTGAAATTTCAGATGAGAGAAAAAAAAGAGGAAAAAGAACGGTATTGTATATATATTTCTGTTTTTTCCTTTCCCTCTCCCCCCCCCCCCAAAAAAAAAAACAAAAAATTTTCCCAAAAAATTTTTTACGCCCAAAGTATGTGTACTTAATAATTATTGAAAAAACCGATTTAGGGGCCCTTTTTATAAAATTTTAGTAGAG